TAGTGTAATGTTGTGTTATGTAAACTAGAAGTGAATTTAGAGTTAGCTAGAAATAAATTGGAATTATTATATCGACCCCTAATTCTAATAGTAAACCCAATTGTAAATGTTGAAAATGTTTAGTAATTCTAATTTTAATTGTTATCATGTTTGCCACCGAGCATTAGCTCAAAGCGAACTTTAATAAATCTATCTATCTATCTATCTATCTATCTATCTATCTATCTATCTATCTATCTATCTAAGCGCATCTAACCCTTTGGTCGGAAGGCGTGAATTGCAGAGACCTCCTCCGGACACCCCACAACACCTGGGGTATCTCCGGTTCAATTAAAGCCCACGCCTGGAGGGAAAAGGAATGCTGTGGACTGGATGTCGGAAGGAAGAGAATCTATCCAAGAACTGGTGAAGAATAATATAGAGATAATAGAACGTTTGCATACCCAGCTGTCATTGGAAAAAAATCGTTAAGAAATAATCCTGTGATAGTAAGGAAAACTTTGGCCACAGCACAAGAAGATGTGGGAACATTAAAGAACAGATGGCAGGGTATCGATGAAGAGCAAGAGTGGATGCATGATAGATTGCTCCTCCTGAGGAAGGGTGACGTACATGCCGAGAATACAAGGCACGGCAAGGAGAGGGACGGTGCTGTAAGGGATACGGCGCAAGAAGGAGCAGAAGAAAAGAGACAGTGTTCAGAGATCCTGAGTTCTCTTCAATTACGAAAGAGAGAGTCAAGGCAAGAGAAGATAAATTGAATGCTGTGCAAGCACAAAGGAAAAAGAGGGCGGCACCTAGTCCACCAGAGGAGTAACAGAAGGGACAAGAAAGATAATCAGAATAGAGTAATCTGTGGGGAATACTCCTGGAGAAAGATATGAACCACCAATCAGAGAGAGGTGATAGAACATCTTGAGATTAAAGGAAGCCAAGAAGAGGAGCGCTGGGAGGAGCTACAAAGTAGTAAAAGGAAAAAAAGAAAGAAGAGTATAAGTCAAGTAAGAAATTCACTCCAGCTTTCAAGGTGACAGCTAGGCAAGGTGAAACATACGCAGACATCAGAAAGAGGATGAAGAATGCCGTGGATCCTAATGATTACGGTACGAAGATATTGGCTGTAAGGAGGACCCGAATGGCGGGTGTGCTCCTTGTACTAGAAAAAACTGGCAATATTGCCGTGTTGAACGAGGCTCTGGAGAAGGCGGTGAGGGAACAAGCGAAAGTGAGTGCCCTTACGCGGAAACTCCTAGTAGAAATTAAGTATATTGACTAAACTGTCACGATTGAAGAGGTACTGGAAGCGGTGAGCAAGACAATAGACGTAACGGCAGACCAGATCTCCGACTCTTGTAGGTTACGTAGGGGATATGGAGCAATGCAAACAGCCACAATGCTACTGGGTGAAAAGGTAGCCCAAAAGGAAAAATTAAAATCGGCTGAGTGAACTATGGAATCAGAGAAAAGCACCAGATATTAAGATGTTATCGATGCTTATGCTTTGGATATATCTCAACTGCTTGCAGAGGACCCGATCGAAGTAAAGCAAGTTACAAATGTGGCAAAACGGGACATGGTATCAAGGACTGTACTGGTAAACTGCAGTGTGTTATATGCAAGGAGGGAAGCAAAGACGATAATCATCTGCTAGGAAGTAATAAATTTACCTCCTTCAAGGCGTTCAATAAAGTCAAAAAGAGAAAGAATGCCCCGATTCCTACAAGTTAATTTGGGTAGGAGTAAACAGGCGTGGAATTTGATGCTGTCGGTCGCTGCTGAAAGGGAGGTTGACGTGCTGCTCATCAGTGAGCAACCTCACTGCGATATGTGGTATCAGGGTGCTACTGAAAGAGCCGACATAGTAATGCATAATAAGAAGCTGAGTATCACGAAACACAAGAGAACGAAATACGGGTTTGTTTGGCTGGAAGTGGGCAATATGAGAATTTATAGCTGCTATTTTTCATCGAATGATACGCTAGAAAAATTTCAGAAAGGTATCGATGAGCTGGAGGCTAGCTTGAAAACGTCTAAAAGCGAGATATTAGTGGCAGGTGCTTTCAATGGTAAGTCGTCCGAATGGGGAGAGACGCGCTCCGATAAAAGAGGAACTAAAATATGTGAATTCATTGCAAGAAATGATCTGATCATCTTAAATACTGAGGACGAGTACACCTTTCACCGTAGAGCCGCATCATCTATTTTGGATTTGACAATAAGCCCCACCCAGCAAACCAAAGGCATCGCTGATTGGTTAGTACTCGACGAAGAAACCCTGAGTGACCATTGGTACATAGGATATGCGGTTCCATTAACGGACGGGCCGCAACATGTCAAAATGCAATATAAAAGAAGACCACATTGAAATCCCAAAAACTTGAATGAAGACAAGGCAAAACGCCCCTTGGAAGACTCCAGGTTGCTGGTTAACATGGGTGGGACGAAAGAGGCGGAAACGCTTGAGGCAACGGAGGAAATAGTGGTAGCAGCTTGCGACGCATCCATGCCTAGACGTATATGTCCGAGGAGGAAACAGCAAATGTATTGGTGGACACCAGAAATAGCTGAACTACGAAGGAACTGTATTAGGGCAAGAAGAATAGTGACAAGGGCCAAGACGAATAACAAGAAAACTTGAAGAATGGCCTTGAGGGTGGCGTGTACCTACCACACACTGTGCGGTGCTTGTGTTGCTCAGTACACAACCAATCGACTTAATAGCCATGGAAAGAAAGAGGATGTAACTCGCCTTCAAGGAAGCGTAACAAGCAGACAGTCATCTCCCGCCCAAGCAAATTGAGAGTATTAAAGCGAAAGCAAGGAAGTTTCTCCTTGAAGAATGGCAAGGAAGATGGAATGGGGATGTGAAAGGCAGATGGACTTATCTGTTGATTACTAACATCGAGATGGGTAAGCCGAATATTTGGGGAGGTGAGTTATTACCTGTCCCAGGCTCTTACAGGACATGGAGGATTTAATAACGATAACGATTTCAGGGTCGTAGAGAGGCCCACGTGTAGTCTCTGTCACGCAGACATAGATGCAGAACACGCATTATTCCAGTGCAAGGCATGGGACGCGGAACGAGAGGTTTGTAATGTCAACCTCCAACAAGATACAAACCCAGACAACACGGTCGACATGATGCTGAGTTCACAGGAAAAATGGAAAACAATAGAGAAATTCATAGTTAGTGTTATGAAGAAGAAGGAGTTAAGACTGAGGAAGTAGAGCATCTGCTACCAGCCAATCTCCCACGTGAAGTAGTGTCTAACGACGGTTTCGGTTAAGAGACGGAGGTTAGGTTTTTAGTCGGTAACCCAGTTAGGAGTCCGACATCACCAGCTTCACTGGTGGTCCATAAAGGATTTTCCTCCACCACGTATATAATAATAATAATAATAATAATAATAATAATAATAATAATAATATTTATTAAGTCACATACAATTACAATTGTGTGTAACGAGTCAACATGATGTCTTGGGTGGAGAGAGCGAAGTTACGTTACTGTTCAGGAGCAAAACAAGTGGCCATCTTAGCATCTGCTCAAGGGACCAGGGAAACTTAACAAAACCTGATCGAGATGGGGTCATTGGCCTAGGAATTATATTACAATACTTGCTACAGATAGATTACGATATTACAAAGAAGATTATTATTTTTAGTAGCAGATTATTTAACATTTCAAGATGTTATTGTCATTTTAATGGAATATCAAGAAAACTTGCATGTATAGTAAATTCTGAAGATATTCGTCAGTGAATACATTACCTCATCAGCATAATCAACATTACCGTCAGGAAGCCAGTACCAGTGGTATTTAATGGGCAATTGACCATTATTCACAATTTCAAAGGTCTCACTGGCACCAGAGCCACTAGGAATGCATCCAAAATCCAATATGTCAGGGAAAATATTAACATTCGGGAAATTTGCTTCTCCAGATAATGGAAGATGATCCTGAAAAAAATTATATAAAAAGTGTATTAATAACTATTTGTGATTGATATTTTTTTAAATCGTGATTAAAATATATTTTCAATTAAAGAGAATATCAAAATATTTCATTATTTTGAATTTATTTAAGTTAAGAAGTTAAAATATCAAATACTTTAAAATCAAAATTTTCAGGAAATGAACATTATTTTTAAAGATTACTGAAAACTATTACATGTAACTAAATACCTCACTTTAAATTTTAATTCCTCTTTTTAAAGATTTTTAGATTCGATTAAAACTTATTAATTTGAAACACATTCAAAAAATGATTCCCTAGGTTGTTAATAAAAGAAAACATAATTTCATGGTAAAACTTTATTGTAGCAGAGAGCACTCATTGTGCTTTTTTTTAGGAAAACACAACCAGAAACAAGATTTTTTCATACTGTGGGCTCAAAATTGGTATTATCACTGAGTCGTAGATACCAGTGCTTGAGAGCCACCTGCAATTCAGCATCACTATGATAGGCATAATTCAGTGCAACATTGCATAATTTGTGAAGGGCCATTCAAAACAAGCCACAAGACAAGTCGCATCCTGTGCAATAAAAAGTTCAGCCTCACATGATGGCTCTCAACAGATCTTCTGAAGCTGTTCCACTGAGAGGTGATTTGGCCATTCATCTTAAGTCCAGATATTGGGCCCAGAGGTTTCCCTTTTTTTTCTACCCTTCAACTTCCTCACACCCCCTAAACCTCATTGTCCAGTTAGCATGTATCACAGTTACACAGAGTTGAATGACTTGCCCAGGCAGCAGATTCCTATAACACTGGGGTACAATAGTATGATATCATGGTATGACAAATGTCTTGATTCTGGTGATGATTATGAGAAAAAATAGTGCAATCTGTGTTGTTTCTGCTAGAATAAAGTTTTCCCATCAAATTGTGTATTTTTTTTTTGTTGACAAGCTTGGGAAACTTACTTTCTGGACAGCCTCATACTAAAAATATTAGTGATTTTCATTTTTCAACTTAAATATTAATTCAGTTTTTACCGTATGTGTATGTTCTCTGTAAGAAACTTGTAAAACATTTTGGAACTTCCTGGAGTACAGATCGGTAATACAACTTGTGTCAAATATTATTGTAAGTTCCACAGTTGCTAAGCTGTCTAACACTAGAGAGACTTTAGATACAGGCTCATTCTTTCCCATGATCAAGAATGGAGTCTCAGTTTTCAGCACTATTTTATATGGTAGATCTGTAGCATTTGTCATATTCACATTATCTGTAAGATAATCATGACTTGTCAGATTACATTTCAAGGTAGTAACAAATAAATGATGCATCAAAAATATGTGTGATCATGGAATCTTACCATAGAGAATTTTATAGTTTTCCTTGGGGCCAATTTCTACTTTAAATACTATTTCTGGCTTGGAAAATATTACTTTTGGATCAATGAAGTTAGCTTTTATTTTAGTGAAAAGTAAAGTCTCTCTTTTGCCAGCAACAATTGCATGACAAAAAAATTGTTCGGAGACTTGTTGTATTCTGAAAAATAACCATTTTTGAAGAAATATTACCTGGTTCTCAGACAAGAAAAATTATACTATAATTAGTTATACTTTTAGATGAAACTCTTTCAAAACTTTCACTAAGAATTGCAATGAAGTTGCGGTACAATTGCTGTATAACAGCTAAGTTCATGTCTGAATTCACATAAGAAATAGTATAAGAAGTATGTGAATATAATACACTTTTTTTTTCTAAGTGTGAGATTGTAGCTGATAGAGCAAATGAACATTGAAAGGGCAAATGTTTTTAGATTAAATGACCTCTCATACAAAAGATCCTTTTGAAACATATCTACGTATTGAAAATAAAGGTTCTTATATAAATTGTAATAAAATAAATTTTTGAATTCACCTTTCAACTTTCTCATTTACTTATATAGTACTGAGGAAATTATTTAATGCTGCAGAAAATAGATTATGAGATTTTAATATTTTGGTGTTCCCTGACCAAAAAAGTATTTGTTTTTTTAACAGTCATCCACATTTCTGCCAGTCCATCCAACTACCAGTTTGTTTCTCTATCTGCCAACTACACTAGTGTCTAAACTATTCATACAATTTTTGTCAAAATGAGTATTACTACAAATAATCTTGACTGCCCGTGTGATGCTGTATTGAAGGCTGTAGTGCCGACGTTTTGACCATCTTGTCGTGTTCTTCCTCAGGGCTGATCTGAGGAATGGCATGGTCTTTCATGCCAGACTGATTATTCTATGCCAACTTATGCAAAGAAAAAGGAAACGAATAAGCAGCAAATATCAGAATTATTAAAGCTGGGAATACAAAATGTTAGAGCTCTCTCAAATAAAGAAGCTGAAGTAGAACAGGAATTAGTGAAACCAAAAAACAATTACAGGACTCATCAGAATTACAAAATTATATAATGATATACAGCGGAGTTCCCCAACAACAGAGAGTATTTCAGGTAACAGTATCAACAGCTCACTACAAAAAATTCACATATAATACATGTACATTATTTTACAACACCTAGCCAAATGACATTAAACGATTAAATTTGATACAAAAGGTTAAGTCCTAAGTAAAATCTTTTCTGCTGCACAACTGTTTCTATACAGTTAGACACTATACCAAGCATCCAAAAGGAAAGTAATATTAATTTTAACAATGACATTTAATGTATTATATATCATTTGGATTGTATAATTCTAAAGAACCTGGAAATAAATTGGCTGGAGTATCTATTTAGATCAGAAAAACAATGAGGAACAGAATAGCATCGTGCACTTTCATAAAGGAAAAAATTATAAATGAGATTTGATGTAGACAGAGGTTACGTTTCAGTCTTTACATTGTACACACCAGAAGAAGGGAGAACCCAAGATGTTTCTATGAATTATCTATAACAAATTCTATGAACAACTACAGACAGCAATAAATAAGATCATTAAATGTGATTACCTTCTTTTATTAGGTAATTTAGTAGGTAATAAGAGTAGGGAAAATACCTATAAAAATATTGTATGCACAGAAGGTGAATACACTCATAACAATAATGAAAAGAAATTAATATAATTTACCATATACAATGAGCATTACTAACACTTCCTTTAAACCCAGAAATATTCACAAATTCATATGGTAAGCATGTGGATCTACCTCTGTAATTGATTGTGTTCTTGAAAACAATAAGACTTGGATAAACATAAAGGATGCGAGAGTACTTAGAAGTTGTTGTATCACATGATCATGTCTTAGTAAGATGTCACATAACGTTCCCACAGAGGTGGAAGAAAACCATCTAAAATCCAAATCAGAAATGGAAACATTTAAAGTTCACCAGTTACAAGATTATAGCACAAAACATTTATACCAGAATATATTCAACTAGAAAAACTTTATTAATTCTATAAGTAACAATATAAATGAAGAATGGGCAAACATTAAATAAATTATAACACAAGCAGCAGCAGAAGCAAAAGAAAATTTCAAAAAGATAGCTAAGGTTGTGGAATGATAATATCAAACAACTAAATGAAGAAAAAAAGAAGCATTATTAAAGACTCTCATCTCCTGGGAATATGAATGAAAATCAGCTATAGGTAAAAGAAAAGTTCATAAACTCAAACAAGAAAATTGGGGGGGGGGGGGGGAGTGTTAGTGAAACTGAACATGACTTTTTTGGAAACCAAAGTGGAAGCATATAAAATTAATAAAAAGTATGAGAAGACGAAAGAAGAACACACGACACCGACACCGACCACCGACGACCACGACGACCACGACGACCACGACGACCACGACCGACCACGACGACCACGACGAATACCACACGACCACGGACGACCATCGACTGACGGCCGGGTGCGCGGCGGGGGACCGGCGGCGAACGGGGACGCACGGCGGGGAACGCGAAGCCGACGGGACGACGCCGTACCGCGACGACAGACCGACGACCCGACGACGACCACGCGACGACACGAAGACGACGGACGAAGACGCGAAACAAAACGACAAACGACAACGACACCGACGACGACCACGACGACGACGACCACGACCACGACGCACGACAACCACGACGAACGCGAACGACGACGACCGACGCGCCGGCGGACCGACGAACGACACGGTGACGACCACGACGACGACCACGCACGACGACCACGACCACGAACACGACGACGACCACGACGACCACACGACGACGACAACGAGACGGCGGCGGGACGACGACGACGACGACCGTGGACGACCACGACGACGACCCACGACGACACGACACGACCACGAACACGGACCGAACGACCACGACGACGACAACGACGACGACGACGACGACGACCGACGACCACGACGACGACACGACGACGACCACGACCACGACCACGAACCGTAACAACGACGCCTGATAGGACGACGACGAACGACAACGACAACGACAACGACAACGACAGCGACAGCAACTGGTACTGTTAATACAAACATGGTGTAGATCAGAAATATGTATTGAATCAATTTATGTAGAAACTTCCTAACTTTATTTATATGTGCTGGTCCAGTGGATATGTGCTAGAAGAATGGAATGAAGCTCTAATTTACCCTAATAAAGGCGACAAATCTGAATGATTAAATTATAGAGGTATAGGTCTCCTGATTTCTTGATATTAAATCTATGCAAAAATTATAAATCAAGGATTAGTGCCTATAGTTGAAACATGGTATTAGAAAAGGTAAATTTTGTTCTGATTGTATTTTTATATTAATACAAGTTACTGAAAAGCAAAGGGAATTTAAACTACTAACATACTATCTATCATTCTTTATTGATTAAGCAAAAGCATTTGACAACCTTAAAAGAAGATTGTATTGGGAAACACTGAAAAATGGCTCCCTTCTCATCTTATTAAAGCAATTCAATCATTTTACAGAATGAATAAAATCAAGATCTGAATAGTAAGAAATGGAACAAAATTAGCTTATAACAACCAGGGAGTAAGATAGGGATGCTGGCTCTCACCAACACACAACAAAATATATATGGATGCGATCATTAAAAAATGGTTGATGACTTTAATTGATGTTTTTAAAATTAATAATGTTGAGATCCCAACATTACTTTTGCCAACGACTAGCTTAGCATAGGAATATATCTGAACATTAAAAATCAATTAGCAGTTCACAAGTTTAGTCAAGTTGCTAATGTATATTGTATGAAAATCTCACCAAATAAAACAAAAGTGATAGCATTTAAAGGGCTTGAACCTTTAAGAGGAAAGAAAGTTATATATGACCAAATAATTGAACAAGTTAATGAATTTAAATAACTTAGATATCATTTTAATTATATTAAATCATGAGATATAGAAATATAGCTGAACAATTTCACATACTTCTGTAGAACTTCACAATGAACTCAAAAGTGTGCAAAAAGAAACTCTACCTAGATTTTACAGTTATTACCTTCCCATTACTGCTTTATGGAAGCAAGAGCTTCACATTACATTTCATTTTCACATTACATCAGCTGCATAAAATTGAATCTGCAGAAATGAGATTTCTTCATTTTGTGGCCAGATATTCACTATTAAGACTACAAAAAAGTGTAGATATAAGAGAAGAATTAAATATTGAGCCTGTTATAGATATCATAAAGAAATATCAAGAATACTGGAAATGTCATGCCCTGAGAATGCCAGAACATAGGATAAGTAAAATTATTCTTCAACATGCACCTAAAGGAAAAAGAAGTGTAGGAAATACCTTGAAGAGATGGCATGAAAAAAATTCGAAATGGAACAAATCAAGCTGTCTAATCCTTTCTGTTGATGATGAACACTATACACATTAAGGGCATTTGTTATACATTATTGAATTTGTGAATAAAAGTACTTCCAATGATATCTCATGAGGTGTCTTGAAAACTCAAAAGTTATCTGCAAAAATTAACTCAAAATTGTGCATTTTCAGAAATGATCAAATGACATTTTCTCAAAAATGGTTCCAAATTTGTTTTTAAACTTATTGTATGAATAGAGGTAAATGCTCTGCCAATCCAAAGTGTTTTGATGAGTTGTTTTTATTTTTGAAATTTTACACAAACATATTTTTCTTTAAATATCTCTCATGTTTTTAAAGTTTATATTACAGACTGTTGTTATACGTTATTGGATTTGTGAAGACAAGTACCTCAAATGATTTCAATGAAATTTCTCAAAAATTCAAGTTTTTTTGAAAATGAGCTCAAAATTGCAAATTTTTAGAAATGCTTAAAAGACATTTTCTCCACAATGGCCCCACATTTTTCAATGATAATTTTCTTCTTAAGGTTTTACTCTTCTATAATATTCTTAATAACATAATTAAATTAGGGGACTGGAAAATTGAGAAAATGTGAAATTATGCTGAAAGATGGAAAGAGGGTAGAGAAAAATCGAAAAGCTAGCAAGTAAATAAGAAACTAACTAGAACATAATGGGAAAATCTGTGCCATTATGTAGCACTTCTAGTTTTCTTTTCATTTCATTACATCAGAATACTCACTTCTCACTGATTCCACGTATAAGAAATTCTGCTGACTGACGTCCACTTAGTTGCATGATATCGGGTTCAATATGAAACAGAGTCCTAACACACACAATGAAATTGAATAAAAATTATTAATTGGGAAAAACAATTATATGACATTAATAGTGGCACTGATCAATGAAATTTAAAAACTTCATTAGTGAAGTAACCTCGCAATAAGAAAAATCAAATAAGTAAATAAAAAAAATATATTCTATATCTAAAGAATAGAAATCTTGAAAATGTAGTAGTTGTCACTAAT